CACAAACATTTTTTAATTAAAAATCTACCAGACAGTTACAGTTACAAGATCAGGGTGGAAAAAAAGCTTTCAAAAATATAGGTTGATGTGCACAGTTATGCCTGTGGGAATATACTTACTCGAGGGAAATGATGTTCAAGGAAGAGAGTCAAGATGAAAGCTAAACCTGGAGAGAAAGACAATAGATCGTGAAAGAAGACAGACTAGGAAGAGAAAATCATCTCATATTCTCTAATATGTTAAAAAACAACAACAACAACAACACTGGGGGGATCTGTTAAAATTTTAACTAAAGTTTCCTTCCCCCCCCCACTGTCCTCCACACAAATTGCTAGTATAAGGTTAGATTTAGGCAGATGAGTCCTATTTCCAAGCTATATTTGCTTTTCTAAATGTAGTTTGTAAACTCAGGTTAAGTTTCTGCCCCACCTTTGCCCATGATGTATTTGAATGAATTGATTCAAGTCGCCTTCAATTTGAGATAGTGTCTTAGACGAATAAATGCTAAATATCAATATCAAATATCCTTTTCCAGGCTCACTCTCTCAGTTAAGGAGTTAAAGTCATGTCCAAGGGCAATGAGAATGCAGATCCTTCTTTTTTTTTTTTTTTTTTTTTTTTAAGTAGGCTCCATGCCCAGCATGGAGCCCAACATGGGGCTTGAACCCAAGACCCTGAGATCAAGACCTGAGCTGAGATTAAGATTTGGATGCTTGGGGTGTCTGGGTGGCTCAGTCGGTTAAGCATCCGACTCCAGCTCAGGTCATGATCTCACAGCTCGTGGGTTTGAGCCCTGTGTCAGGCTCTGTGCTAACACTTGGGGACTGGAGTCTGCTTTGGATTCTGTGAGTTGGATGCTTAACCAACTGAGCCACCCAGACACCCTGAGAATGCAGATCCTTCTTAAATGCTGATGTGTCCCCATGGAGGTCTGATTAACATGGCAAGACACCTCTACAGCTCTAAACTTTAAAAAGGGATTTTAAAAACATAACTCTAATTAGCATATGGTAATAGGTGTTCATTAAAAAAAAAACAGTAACAACTCAGATGTCCTGAAAATGTTATATCTCTAAGGAGAAAGAGGACTGGAAATTATTCCTATATTTCAGTGCCCAATTTTAGAATAACTTCTGCAAAAAAGAAAAAATTTTTTGTGACATATGCCCAAGGAAACTAAAAAGACTTCATTTCCATAAGTAGAGTCAACAGATGATTCCTTAGACAAGTAAAGAGGATTTACTATATTATGATTGTATACATTAAGTTGTTATATAACAACAGACAACAAGAACATGTGTTTCATTCTACCCAGGCCCTACCCTAAAAGTTTTTGAGGAAAAGGGCATGATGAAAACCACAAACAATATGCCATTCCTTTCATATGGAAAGGCCCAGTGAGGTAAAACAGTAAAAAATTACTTTAAGCAGTCATATTCTAGGAATTTTTGATCTAGGATTTTGAATTTAAGCAAAGTCTCCAAAATCATGTAGATTAATACAACTAACAAAATCTATGACAGGCCAGGGGCGCCTGGATGGCTCAGTCAGCTGAGCATCCAACTCTTGATTTTGGCTCAGGTCATGATCCCAGGGTCATATGATTGAGCCCCACATGGGGCTCTGCCCTGATGGCACGGATCCTGCTTGGGATTCACACTCTCTCTCCCTCTGCCCCTCCCTCACTCATGCTCACTCTCTCTCTTAAATAAAAAAAGTTTAAAAATAAAACACAAAAAACTGACAGGCCAAGTACATTTTGCTTCTAATGCTTCTGATATGATTGCCTGTTTCTTTTTAAAATATTCAATGTTAATTATTAAAAATATGTATAAAGTGTTTTTTAATTTTTTAAATGTTTATTTATTTTTGAGAGACAGAAAGACAGAGCATGAGCAGGGGAGGGGCAGAGAGAGACAGCGACAGAATCCAAAGCAGGCTCCAGGCTCTGAGATGTCAGCACAGAGCCCGACGCGGGGCTCGAACCCACAAGTCATGAGATCATGACCTGAACCAAAGTCGGATGCTTATCTGATTGAGCCACCCAGGCACCGCTAAAGTGTTTTTTATAGAGCCATATATACACGTTTCCCCTGCTATCGAAAAGTAGAGCATTCCTATGAAAACTCTGGTAAGCCGAAATGGCGTAAAGCGTACCGTATTCCCCACTTTCTGCCAGTTTGCTTTTACAAAAGACCTACATTAATAACCTGTTTTCACTCACCAGTAGAAATCTGAAGAGGATTTTCACTTTTACAAAGAAAGCCCTAATGCAGGTCTTGCATAAAAGCAAAGTGATATAACATGAATCTTCAGAAGTAGGACATACCTGTATTCTTTCTGGATGCAAAATAATATAAATTCAGTCTCATCACATCTAATTCAAGTGGCCATATCACCTTTTAAAAGGCCCACTGCAGTAAAGAAAGTATACCACTCAGTGAGAAGAAGTTCTATATAATGAACAGGTGTCCCCCAGAGCCCAAATCAGGTTTGTGATTCCTTTGGACCCACATAGCACTAATAAGTCTAGCAATATCAAAGGTAATCTGGCAAACAATAAAGATTAGAGAAAGTGCTTTGGATGAGTGATAATGGACCATCATTCCTGACTGAGGTTCTGTATTTTAGTTTGCATGGAAAACTATATTCTTTCATGGAGTAAGGAAGCAGGAATATTTACTCAGGTCAAATGCTAACAATTTTGTACTTTATTTGGGCACACAGGAATTTAAATTGATTAAATATTGGAGGAAATAATATAGATAATGGGCTTAAAAATATTTTTGTACATAAATTTTACCACTAATTCTAACACAACTTTCTCTCTCCCTCTTCCTTTCTCCTCCTCCCAAACCTTAACAGTTACATTGTGAGAAGCAGTTTCAATAATGTAAGATCTACACAGTTAATCTATTATTATTATTATATTAATGTTAATATGTCATTAAATCAAATATGGAAATGTTCAGTGATATAAGTGAACTGAGTTAGAAGTTTGTTGGGGCGCCTGGGTGGCGCAGTCAGTTAAGTGTCCGACTTCAGCCAGGTCACGATCTCGCGGTCCGTGAGTTCGAGCCCCGCGTCGGGCTCTGGGCTGATGGCTCAGAGCCTGGAGCCTGTTTCTGATTCTGTGTCTCCCTCTCTCTCTGCCCCTCCCCTGTTCATGCTCTGTCTCTCTCTGTCCCAAAAATAAATAAACGTTGAAAAAAAAAATTAAAAAAAAAAAGAAGTTTGTTTTTGGGGGGTAGGGAAGTATTTTTTTTGTTTATATTTGTTAAATTACAAATTCTTATCAAAGAGGATTTTTGCCAACTTCAACAATCACTCAGAGTTTGAAAGCTTGTCTGTTTATAGTAAAGTACACCTGAACTAGAAGGCAATAGTATCACAGAAATTTTAACTTTATAAAAATTCTCCTAACAATTGGAACAAATCCATTCAGTTAGTATGGCTTAAATACCAAGCACTATGCTAAACAGTCTCGAGTACATGCTCTCAGTTAATCCCTACAGCAGTTCTGTGAGGGAGGGAGTCTTAGACAATAGTACAAAAGCTATGACATATGCCCAGAGATGATATTCAAACTGTTACTCATGAGATGGGGTGGGAGGAGCAGGGCAGTCAGAGGCCCTGGGGCTACAGCTATTTATGCACCAATATAGAGACATGCCAATATTTTCACAACAGGAGCAGCTTTCTTGGAGTGTACAAGTTAAATGTCAGCCCTGCTTCCAAATAATCTTAATACAATGTAGAAACTGATGGGGTCAATGAAAAAAACTGAGATAACTCCCATGTTATTACAAAAAAAGGAAGGGATTTCTGACTGGGAGAAGGTGTCAGGGAGACTTCCTGGAGGAGCTGGTCCTTGAGCTGGGTTCTGAAAAATGCTGAATTTGAAGCATGAGGCAATGGCTGATATCAGGGCTGCAGTAGAGAAGGAATTTCCAGGAAAGTCAATGGGTGAGCCAAGGCAGAGTGCCAAGAACATATGGGGTGTGTGCTGGACAAGAATGAGCTCTGGAAATATAAACTGGAGTTGGACCAGAGAGAGAATGGAATAGCAGGTCAAAAAATAAATAAAAGCTGCTGAGCAAACTAATTAATAGATTTTGAGGCATGATGTGATCCGGCAGGGGTGGGTAGGATGAAAAGGAAAAAGACTAGGAGGGACAAAGTCAGGTAGTTCTTGTGTAATCAGCCAACTAACTCTTAGAGGTCCTCAAGGAAGCATTCCTGGACATGCCTCTCCCCCTCCTCCAGCCTCAGTTAGGTGTTCCTCCTCCATACTCTGCAAGGTCACTGGTTGGCCTCTATCAGTACACCCTCCCACTGTGCTCCTGGTGCTGCCTCACCAGACTCTGAGCCACAATTCTTTATGTGAGGCACAGCTGAAGGTGTGGAGGTCAACACTCGTAGAATCGCTGAACTCCATTTTCAAATATAGATCTAAGAAATATCCAGCTGAAGGCAATATGGCTTCTTTCATTGGAGACATTTGTTACAATGGATTAGAAAGGCATATGGGACTTTATCTCAAATGGTATCTGATTCTTGATGCCATGTGGTGATATGAGATCAAATTCAGTCCCCTTTTCCTTCCTTGCCTTTACTTCAAGTTGCCTGGCATGGAGTAAGACTTGATAAACGGGGTGATCTGTGAATGCAGCATGGAAAGCCTGAGATAAAGGAGTAAAGGCAAAACAAAGGGAAGAAGAGAGATAAGAATAAGTGAGGGACAACAAGAACAGAAGAACTAATAGGATTTGGTGTCGGAGAGGACAGGAAGGAGCCAGAGGTGACACTTTATGCAAACCTGAGGGGGTGGGATCAGAGGGCAAGGGGATCTTTTTTTAAAAGAAAACAGGAGTAGACTTTGAAGGGAAAGAAGAAAAAGGTTGCGTTCTGTCTTGCATCATTGTCCTGAGTTTACGACGTCCATAGGATCCCTAGAGGATGAACACCACCAGCAGTAGGATACTTGAAGCTGGAGACCTTCATTTTTAACAAAATATTTCTCACTCATTGGGGGAACATTTCAGAGTCATTATTTGTAAAAATTCATAGTTCATTATAAAGACCTGTCTTTACCTTTGCTGCCAGTAGTCACCTGAACCAGAGCCTTCTTGCTAAACGCAGCACTGCACTATCAAGATGTTGGCGACAAGAGAAAGGCTGACCATCTCCACCCCTCTATTCCTTGCAAATCAAATGCAGATCATCCTCAATTTCTAATAGAGTGACATCCTGAAAAACCCGTCGTGAGTTGAAAATATCATTAAGTTGAAAATTCATTCAATACACCTAACCTACTGAACATCATAGGACAGCACAGCCTAAACATGCTCAGGAATACTTACATTAGCCCCCAGTTGGGCAAAATGGTCTAGCACAAAGCCTATTTTAGAATGAGTGTTGAAGGGCTCATGTAATTTATTGAGTACTATGCTGAAAGTAAAAACCAGAATGGCAGTATGAGTACAGGATGGTTGTAAGTGTATCAATCATTTACCCTCATGATTTCATGGCTGGCTGGAGGGCTACCACTGGCTGCCACTACCCAGCATCACAAGAGAGTATCGTAGAACATAGTGCAAGCCCGGGAAAAGATCAAAATTCAAAGTATGGTTTCTACTGAATATATATTGCTTTCACACCGTTGTAAAGCTGAAAATTTTTAAGTTGAACCACTGTGAGTCAGGGCCATCTGTAGTCAAGACCCTTTCCATGATTTTGAAATATTTTTCTGTTGATCTGAGCACCCAGAGGGGTAGTGGTTAAAGTGCAGTGCTCGAACAGGGGCCCAAATACTCTCTGGCAATTCACAGCTAGGTGACCTTGGCAAGGATTGTAATGACTCTAAGCTTCCTTTTCCTCATCTGTAAAATGACGATGGTGACAATAATTGATTGCCTCATAGGATTGTTCTGATAACTAAATGACACAATTCATGTAAAGTGCTTTAGCATGGTGCCTGGCCCTTAAGGAAAAGTTAACTACTACCCAGGCACTATATCATAAAAGGATACAATAAGAATTCTCCCATGAATAAAAAAAAAATGCATTTAAAATAAGAAATGGCAAAATGAAAGTAAATGATGTTTCTTCAGTGTTTCCATAAATTTCACAAGTTCAAGTTTAAATGAGGAGTGTTTTTTTATGAAGAGGGAGAATTTTTAATAGGTATTTTATCGAATATCAGGTAGGCCAAATCAACAACTAATCAGTTTTGTAGATTCACAAAACAGGATACAAACAGAGTGCTACTTGCTTTTCTACCAAGTTAAAACAATTCTAGGGATGGAAGGCCTGCTGTGATAGTCGTGGGAACTGATAATAAGAGGCATTATATGTACATACGATATAGTTTACTGTATATTGTTACACACACCTTTATTTATTTATTGGGGCCCTCCTTATCTGTTGCCTAAAAGGGTACAATCTGTGTGACGGTGGCGAGGTCGCTGTCTAGACAAAGCCCCTTGGTTTACCACTCTGGCATCCAACAAGTATTTCCAAGCTTCTGTTAAGCGCCATGCACTTAGCTAAATGAGCAGTGTACAGAAGAAATAAGGACAGCCGCGAACGTACCCCGAGAGCAAACACAGGGCCTCTCTCCCCACATTGGGGGCAGAAAGGCGGACCAGGGCAGGAGAGGTCCCCGGTGAACCCACGAGGGACGCCTCACCTCCCGTGCGGACAGCAGCTTCCCCACTCCCGGCAATGCCCCCTCCTCCACGGGTTCAGGCCAGGGTACAGCGTGGTCACCCTGCCTGCCACCCCACCCTCCTCCCGGCCCGCTAGCCCGCCCGCTCCACTAGGCCTGCCAGCGTCTCCATGGTAACCGTACACAAACTACCTACCCGGGGCGCCTGGGCCGCCTGCCTGCTGAGCCAGGTCGCTGCTGGGCGGGCGGAACGGGACAGGAAATGAACTGGGAGTGGGCGCAGGGAAGGGGGCTTCCGGCCAGCCCCAAAGTCCCTGTGATTAGCGCTGGTGACATTAACAGCTGCGGAAGTTCAGCTCATCCTTGAGCTCTCCGGAGGCAGCGTCTGCCGCGAAGGTGCGGGCAGGGTGGGGCGGGGCGGGGCGGGGCGGAGCGGCGTGGGGTAGGGCGGGGCGGGGCCCGGAGAGACAAGACTGGGAGGTCTCCCGGCGTCGCTCGGCCACTGGGCCTGCGCGGGTCACCCACAACACCCACCCCCCCACCACCACCGCCCCCGCCCTTCCCCGCGCATGCGTAGAAATGCTGAGGCTCTGGCGGGTCGGTGCGTTGGCGGGAGGATCCTGGGCAAGAGCTTCGAGCGGGGAGTGCGCTGCATCGCCCTGGAAGACGGGTGGCGAGGAGTTACCTTTTAAATTAGCAGCTTAGGAACCACATTTGTTGAGACCCTATGAGAACTCAGCACCACTATTAAGTAACAATATGCAGGATGGCAGCTTAGTGCTTTAGGGTTAAGAGTCAGGGTATACTCATTCAAGTTGCAGGGCTGTATAGACTTGAACTAGTTGCTTAACCTCTCAGTTTCCTCATGTGTAAAATGAAAGGAATTAGGAGTACCTAGCTAGGTCTTGTGGCTGTGGCAAGACTGAATGAGAAAATAGATACAAAGCGCTATGCACGTGGCAAGGAATGAATGTTGAACTGTTAGCTATTTTTAAGCCCTTGCATGGGTGCAGCGCTTTAGAGTTTACAAAGGGTGTTTTACTGTATATTTTCTTTTGAAGCGTCCCTGCCACTCTGACCTAGCAAGCCTGGTGTCCCCATTCACAGGAGACAAAATAGGGTTCCAGGGTGTAGTGAGTGACAGTGATAGATTCAAGTCTTGGCTTCCCATAGGCAAACATTTTTTGTTCTTATTGCGCCATTACCGTTGATTGGCAAAAAGTATCCCATTTATATGTTTTTGGTTTATATTCTGTTCTCTCCTATTTAGACTATTCAGCAACACTTTATTTACAGTGTTAAATACAAGTGAGACCATAATCACTCCATTCAGGTTTGCACTGCGTTTTATAAATATGGGGATTTTTCAGCTGAAGTGTTGTCAACATAAAAAATGCCACATGCCTTGGTGCTAAGTATCTTGTAAAGAATAATTAAATTGAAAATATTCTTGAATGCATATTATGTGTAAGGCATCATGCTAGCTGGGAAATACTAACTGAAAACTAAAGGAATGTAGGTATTCTTCAAAGTATCCAACAGGACTTTACACATAGCAGACAATACACACATAGTTGGTTGGGTAATTTTAAGATCTGAAGCGAAGTATTTGTGTTCTTCCGGGTTGGAATTTTTTTCCAGTGAGTCAACATGACATCACATCATCAACTCCCTTTTACTCGCCACTGGACTCCATTGTGCAAAGGGAACTTTGACTACTTAATATAAAACCATATCTAATGTTTTGAATTCACAACTTGTGACATGTAATTAAAATGCAACTATATTTTTGTGTCTCACAGCTGTTTTAAGATATATTCAGTGTTGGTTATCTTCCCCTGACCCCACATGGAAAGTTGGGTCAAGTCCTTGTATTTTCTGCTCATTTTTAGATACCTGATAGTTGCCCCCTTCATTCCCCTCTCCAGTAATGGGTCTCCAGATGACTTTCCCAGCAGGGATGCAATTGGCTTAGGCTCCACTCCCCCATTCACTAGAGGCTACTTTAAGACCCAACCTGGGTGGAGGTCCCTGGGTGGCTTATTCAGGTGATTGTCTGTCTGGCTCTTGATCTCGGTTCAGGTCACAATCTCACGATTGGCATCTGGCTTAGCACTAACAGCGTGGAGCCTGCATGGGATTCTCTCTCTCCCTCTCTTTCTGCCCCTCCCCTGCTCTCTCTCTCTCTCTTAAAATAAATAAATAAATAAATAAACATAAAGAAAAAAAGACACCACCTGGACAGAGGTGAGCAGGAAGTGGGGAGAAGAGAAGCCAGGAGATGGAGCTCTTCTTCCTGGATTTGAATAGCCTTGAGCTTGCTGTGCCTGGGCTACGATTAAAGCAGCCCATGCAGGTCACTCCTGGGTTCTTCATAGTTTCCCATTAATGAAGATCTCTCTCCAAGGGAACTCTTCAGGTGGATGTAGAGATATCCACCGCTTGCTTACAACTCCTCCTCTGACCCTAGAAATCCAGGGTTTACTCCAGCCCCTTGAGATGGGTCCCAAGACAGCACCACATCTTGTCCAAGAAAAACAACAGACATCTCTTTCCCTGGTGACTCTGAGAGTGAGAGGGCAGGCACATCCTAATGCAGCCTCCTGTGGCCCCCCATGCTGTCATAGGGTGGAGCTTTAGCTTTCCCTGAGTAAGTCAGACTCCAGTCTTCTAGACTACCTAACTGCAGTCTCTTGTAAACCCCTCTGGGAAGTCCTCCCACTGGGTTTGAGATGAAGGAGTTGGCACCCCACACTATTCTCCAAAGAAATTTCCTCACCCATCCTCCCCACACATTCTCTAGCTTCTCATGTTTAGCTTCAGCCTGGACACTTGGGTCCAAGGAGTCTATATAATTCCCTATAACTTGCCCTATGGAGACTCTGCCTTACCTTTACTTTGGGACTGGTGATTATTCAATTACCATCTCAGCTGAAACTGCAGTTTAAGAAGCTGTGGTGCAGCCAATTGCTAACTATGGTTTTGCACCCAGGGTCTTGGTATAAAATACACAAGAAAGCTCACTCCTGGACCCTGAAGCCAGCCAACTCAGATAGACAGGAAAATGTCTGCCAGACAGATTAGAACAATTGAAAAGAGTGACAAGGGAAGACTTTTAGGAAGAAATTATTTAAAGCAATAAAGCTGCCCAGATTATCTCACTGAAAGACATGACATGAGAAAATATTGAGGCTATCATAGCAATGGACTGTTATACTGACCTGGCTATTCCTACATGGCTACCTGATGGCTATTTAACAGAATCTGACATAATTAAATTTGCAAGTGGAATTATTTTAGACACAAAATTGCTATTTTTTACACCTTAGAAAGATTAAAGGGGAAAACAAAATATTAACTGTAAGTACCTGACATTTATAAAGCATTTTATAATTTCCAAATTGCATCTATTTGAAGCATTTCATTTTCATTGCATTATTTGGAGTTTACAATTAGCCTGAGAGGTGATTAGTTCTGGGATTCTTATCCCAATTTGAAACTGGCCAAAATTGAAGTTCAGGAAGGTAAGTGATCTGATCTGCCCACTGCCACAGAGCTAGTAAAGTGACCTAAGACCTGGTGTTTTTGATGCCCAGTCCCATGTGCCACCTGTCATTGTACACAGATAAATGCAATTTTTCAGGCTGACGCCTCTGAGAGGCACTGAGAGGTACTTCCTAGGCTGCTGAAACAGTTAAGATATGCTGTTCATTTTCTCCTTTCATTTATCTCTGAGTACATCCTGTGTAGGGCTATAGGGATCAAGAGGAACTTAAGAATCTTTACATTCACTTGAAAATGCCTGTTGGACTTTTGGATTTTGAGTTAAGATGAGAATTACACAGGTGTTGGGATGGGTAATAATGTTATCTTACACACTCTACGATGCAAAAATGCAACAAGATATTGAACTCCTGCTTTTATCCACAGGCTACCAGTGGATTTTATGGTTTATATTATAGTGTCCATCACACACATCTCATATTTAATATCTGTAAGTTTGTCTTGGTTTATATATTAGGTATATTCTTGAAAAGATGCATGTTAAATAAATACTTCCCTAATGCTCACAATTCCCCCAGTGATTTTTATGACATAACAGAGATGGACTCCCGGGGTGGGGGCGGGGGGGACTGCTTCTGGCATGGAATAAAAATCACGAATTTAGAACTCTAACATTCACTTCAAGACACTTTCTGCTGTTGTCAATATGGGATCTTGGAGCTTTAATTATATTTATCACATAATTTCTGTGAGGAGTTCATCAAATTGATAGCCTGTGCAATCTCTGCATACAAATTTCAAGGTACAAATACATTGAAATGCAACTTGGTGGAAATTTACAATGCAATGAAAATTAACTAACTTCAGTGGAACTGCATAACTACAAGACTGTGGAATGGTGCTAAAATTTATCAGCTGAAAAAAAAACTACATGAAAATTCTCTATTTAATGGGGCTCAGCTTTTACCTGTGCATCTTAAGTGTTACTTTGCCTTTAAGCACATCATTCCCACCCGAGCAGCCCTACCACCCTAGGCCATGTTCTCAGAAGTAGTCAAGTCAAATTGTTGCTGGGGATGCTAATGAATGAGGGTTCATTTAATTACCAGTTTATTACAAAGAATTTCTAACTACTTAGGATTTCATTGGAGGAGAGAGTGTTCTAGTTTTCAGGGATTGAGTCAGTAGGAGTCAGTCTTTTCTTAAGTTCATTTATTTATTTTGAGAGAGAGAAAGAAGGAAAGAGAGAGTGGACACACAGGGAGGAGGGGCAGAGAGGGAGGGAGAGAATCCCAAGCAAGCTCCATGCTCAGCGTGGAGCCCCACACGGGGCTTGATCCCATGATTGTGAGATCATGAACTGAGCCAATATCAAGATGCTCAATGGACTGAGCCGCTCAGGCGCCCCTGAGTCAGTAGGAGTCTTACGTCTGAATTGCTTCATCTTAAATTGCCGACTGATATGTTGAAAGAGACCTACTAAGACCAGAAAGCAACTTTTTTTTTTTTTTTTTTTTTTTTTTTTTTTTTTTTTTTTAGGTCATCCTCACCTGTGAGACTGCTTAGATTACTAAGATTACTAAGTGAGCATGCCTGGGAGCTTGGGCCTGCAAATGACAGAATGCCCCATCCAAAGTAGCTTAAATACCAAGGACATTTATTATTTTAACAATAAATCTCAGGGAGCCTGGGTGGCTCAATCGGTTAAGCATCCAACTTTGGCTCAGGTCAAGGTTTTATGGTTCATGAGTTCAAGCCCTGCATCTGGCTCTGTGCTAACAGCTTGGAGCCTGGAGCCTGCTTCAGACTTCTATCTCCCGCTCTTTCTCTGC